AGATGTTCAGAAAAATTCCTAGGTCAATTTATTTATCAGTTATTTATTTAAAACATTTTTTGAATTATGATAATAATACTAACCTATCACTAACCCTTTTTACAATAACTCTACTTATTCCTTCTGTTCAATAATAATTTATATGATTATAAAATTCCAACATTCAAGGTGCTTAATTTTATAACTAACGGATGATTATCTGTCTTTGATTAGTGCCACCCATTGTTAGATCCAATGTTATATATTGAATGGTGTAAAAAAGATACGTGTGATGAAAAACCTCAAGAGTCTTGTGAAGCCCTAGAAGCATATGCCAGAGAATGTGGTCAACTTGGTATTTGTGCGGATTGGCGAAATAGTTTGTGTCCAGCAAAACAATGTCCCAATGGTTTTGAATATAGACCATGTGGTCCTGAATGTATTAAAACTTGCAAAGACGTAAGAGAAAATCGTGAATGTTTAAAGAAAGGTTTGTCAAGAGAGGGATGCTTCTGCCCAGAAGGACAAGTAAGATCGCATGATATTATTTTTTATTAAATTAATAAATGTTAAACTTTAAGGTGCTTTTAAATGATTCTTGCGTCGAAGAAACGGCGTGCAAAGTTTGTGACGATGAAGGACATCGTCCTGGAGACGTCTGGCAAAAGGACAAGTGTACCACTTGCACCTGCGCTGATACTAATATTAAGTGTGAAACACAAACTTGTCCCTCAATTGAAACCATTTGTGATCAGGGTTATAATGCTGTTAAACTACAGAACGAGAATAATGAATGCTGTGACAGATATATATGTGGTAAGTAAATATTTTTTCAATATTTATAATTTTCTAAAACATTTTATGTATATTTTCAGTTGCTGTAACACCAACTTATACCTGCGAACCCCCGCAAAAATTAAACTGTGCTCAAGACCAGGACATGAAGCTGATTACAAACTCTAATGGATGTCAACAGTTCATTTGTCAATGCAAATCTAGTGAAGATTGTGAACCGGTTGATCTCACTTCTACTGAGCCGGGTGTTACTGTGATGATGAATACAAGCGGTTGTTGTCCCGTTGCGGAGAAAATTTGTAAGATTGAAAACTGTCCAGGTAATCCTGATTGTCCTAAATATTATACTGTTGAAAATACCACAATTCCTGGTAAATGTTGCCCATTGTATGATTGTGTCCCACCTCTCGATAAATGCATCTATAATCTTACATATACTAACGGAGAAAAAGGTGGAGAAAGACCAAGAAATCAATATGAAAAGCAGCAAGTCCTGAAGGAGGTGAGTTTTTGTAACAATTGTCAAAAACAGTATTTTTACTAGTAGTTTAAGCTTAATTGATTCAAATAATTGATACACAATACACGATGAATTTTTTGCTCTCTTATATTTCATTTAAATAAAACATTAATCGTAATAATTCCTAACTAGACAATTTTTGGAAGATTGTTTTTGGGGATAGACATTTATTTATTTGTATATTTTCAGATCGGAGAATATTGGAACGATGGGCCTTGCAGACAGTGCCAATGTATTCGTTCCCCACCTAAAAAGGCATCCTATGAATGCACTATCACTGATTGTCCTTCAGTACATGATTCTTCTGATATCAATGATTATGTACTTGACGAAATATTAGTGGAAAATCAATGTTGTCCCACTATCATTCGTACAGCTTGTAAACACGACAACAAAATATATAAACCAGGAGAAAAATGGCCTGCCTCAGAAAACGACTCTTGCACTATGTTAAAATGCGTCAAGATAAACGAAAATGTTCAGAAAGAAAAGGAGATAATCACATGTGATACTAAATGCGATTTAGGATGGGAATACCAACCATCAAAGTCAGATTCTAAATTGTGTTGTGGTTCTTGTATACCTGTAGCTTGTGTAGCGGATGGAATTGTTCGTAATGTAGGGGAGGAATGGACATCTGGAGATTTTTGTACCAGATACGCATGTAATGATGTAAATGGTTCCGTAAGTTCTAATCAATATTTTGTTTCAAAATTCGCACTCAAAAAAAATTTAAATGTTTTAGTTACAAGTTCAGTCATCGTTGACCAATTGTTCTAAAATATCTGAAGAACTTTTAAAAGAATATGACTATGAAGTGAAGAAAATTGAGGGAGAGTGCTGTCCAACATTTACCATTGTTGGCTGTATTGTTGATGGACAAAAATATAAGGTTTCTATACTGAATTATTAATTAAAGAAATAATTGATAGCTTCGAAAAATTAAATATTCATTTTAGGTTGGTGAAAATTGGCTTTCACCTGATGGTGATAAGTGTAAATCATTTACCTGCACGCAGAACAGTTTTGGAGAAATAACTAAACAAGAGACGGTCGAAACTTGCAACACAAACTGTAGTAAGGTAAATAAAAAAAAAACGAAACTCAAGTAAAATTAAATATAGAAGTGGTACATTCTGTATATTCTTTTATAAGACAAGTTTATGGGACACCAAGTAATTAAAATTTCACAAAGTTTAAAATGTTTTAAAAACTCCATTAAGAAAAGAAATACAGTTATCCATGCTTTAAATCTTCAAGTTCAAGATCAACAGATGAAGCATTATATAGAAGTAGCTTAGTTCGTCCTAAATGCATTTGTCAAAGCCGTATCCTCAATTCCGAATTTATTCGTAGTTTTTGAAAGTATTTTACCTTAAGTACATGCTTTTTGACATAAGAATTCTCTTTCCTTTAGGGTTGGGAGTATAAAGAATCTGAGATTTCATGTTGTGGCACTTGTGAACAAGTGGCGTGTGTTGTAAATGAAGCTTTAAAATATCCCAACGAAACATGGCAAGAAGGCCCTTGTAAAGAATGCATGTGCGTTTTGTCTTTATCATCTGAACTAACATTAAATTGTACCACAACGGAATGTCCTCTGCTTAAAGATTCCCCAGATTATACAGATTACATTTTGGAGGAAGTTACACCTCCAGAAAATCAGTGTTGTTCTAATATAGTTCGAACGGCTTGCAAACACCACGATAAGGCATATTTATCTGGTGAAAAGTGGTCAATTATTGACAACGATTTTTGTAACATGATGGAATGTCTCAGTACTAATGGAAGTATGCAGAAAATAAAACAGACGATTGTGTGTCATGATAAATGCGATTTGGGATGGGAATATCGTCCACCCACTTCTGATTCTAAAGAATGTTGTGGAAGCTGTGTGCCAGTTGCTTGTGTGGTCGAAGGTATTGTGCATAATGTAGACGAAGAATGGACATCGGAAGACTTCTGTACCAAATATATTTGCTCTAATATAAACGAATCAGTGAGTACCTTTGAGAATAACTATTTTATATCACAAAACATTCAATTTTTGAAGATGAACATATTTCCTTTTTAATAATTTTTTAGTTATACGTTAAAACAGAAGCTGTAAACTGTCCGAAAATACCAGATGCACTTTTGGAAGAATATGTTTATGAATCAGTTGCACAGAAAGGAGAATGTTGTAAGAAAAATACGATTGTTGGGTGTAAAGTAAACGGTACAAAATACAAGGTCGGAGATATATGGTCATCTCCTGATGGAGATAAATGTAAATCTTTTAAGTGTACCATAAACAGCCTTGACGAAGTTACTAAACAAGAATTGATCGAGCCTTGCGATAAAAACTGTTCAAAAGTAATATACTAATAAAACCATCTGATAATCATTTAATTACTTCTCATTAACTATTTCAGTTGGGTTGGGAATATAAAGAATCTGAAACTTCATGTTGTGGTAGTTGTGAACAAATAGCGTGTGTCGTTAACGAAACATTAATATATCCTGGCGAAGTTTGGAAAGACGGTCCATGCAAAGAATGCAAATGTGTTTTATCACCATCCAACCGACTTTTACAGGAATGTACCACAAAGGAATGTTCCGCATTTAACGATTCACCAGATTACTCAGAATATTTCTTGGAAGAAGTTCCACCTCTAGAAGGCCACTGCTGTCCTACTTTTGTTCGCACAGCTTGTAAATTCGAAGAAAAGATATACCAACCCGGCGAAAAATGGCTTTCCAGTGAACACGATTTTTGTAATATGGTGGAATGTGTTAAAACAAACGGCAGCATCCAGAAAGAAAAGCGTACTATTGAATGCGATAAGGAATGTGATTTGGGATGGGAATATAAGCCACCCAAAAATTCAAGGCAATGTTGTGGCTCCTGTGTAGCTGTGGCTTGTGTAGTGGACGGAATTGAACATAAAGTCGATGAAAAGTGGACTTCTGATAATTATTGTACAAAATACAATTGTGCGTATCTGAATGGCTCGGTAAGTTTATAAAAACCGAAACAATTTGTTTCTTCTAAAATTATTAAAACCTTTTAGTTACAAGTTCAAGCTACAGAACTTGACTGTCCAATGGTACCTGACGAACTTCTTAGTGAATATGTTTACGAATCAGAAGATGTAAAAGGAGAATGTTGTAAAAAATATAAAATTACTGGTTGCAAAATGAACAGCAAAGAGTACAAGGTTTAAAATCAAAACTATTAATATGTTTATTTTTATTGGAAACATTCTTTCAGGTCGGAGAGACATGGACTTCCCCTGATGGCGATAAATGCAAATCTTACAGTTGTATCAAAAATAATAATGGCGAGATTATTAAGCAAGAATCAATAGAATCATGTCAAAGGAATTGTTCCAAGGTAACAGACTAGAATATTATATAATAACACATGCCCGCAACAATAAACAGATTCTGACAATGTATTATTTAATTCTATCAGACATTCGTAATGTGTATATTGGATACATTGGAAAATATATCCATTTACTAATAATTTAACAAAAGAGAAGATAGTGTACATTTCTAGGAATATTTCTGAAAAATCGTATGAAGAGTATAAAATGTTTTCTAGGGATGGGAATACAAAGAGTCAACCACATCTTGTTGTGGAATATGTGAACCAGTTGCATGTGTTTTAAATGATACCTTAAAATATGCAAATGATGAATGGAAATCCGAGGATGGCTGTATTACTTTCAGATGTGAATTTTTCAATGACCAAATGGCTGTGACAAGGTCAGAAGAATCTTGTCCAAATATAGATAACTGTCCTCCGCAAGATGTTTACATAAAGAACTGTTGCAAACATTGCAACATTACAAACGGTGTTTCTCAAGGTATAGGACAGATTGGCATTTGGACATTTTTATATTTATTTAAAGTAATAAATTTTAGTAAGCTGTGAATCAAGAGAGATTAACCCGAAAGAAACGGTTGGTTTGGTGAATGTCAATCGCCCTTCTCATGGTAACTGCGCTAATAAATATGAGTTGAAGAATTTCAAAGAGTGTAGTGGAAGGTGTCATTCATCAACTGTATTCAATTCAAGTAAGTTTTATCCATAATTTTATACAGAATGCAATACTTTTCAATATGCAGCGAGGAGTGATCTTAATTTTAAATAGCTTAAATTTAATGTTATACGTCTTCTGCTGGCATTTTCAGATAAAGATGAAAAAGTTGCCAATGTTAAGTCATTAATTTTAACACATATGTATTAACAAGAGATCTACATCGTTTAATTAAGATTTATTGTTTCTATACAAAAGCCTGAGAGCTAAAAATTTAAAAATCATCGTCCTGACTAATACTTCTACTTTCTTTGGTGGATATATATATAAAAGCAAATGTTGGGAAAAAATTATCTTAATTAAAAATTATCCGAATAAGATGAATTTGATTATATTGGCATTATTTTATGCACTGCAAATTCTTTTTGCTTATAGAAACTGGCTCACACGAATCGAAATGCGAATGTTGTCAAGCAACCAAATACGAACCACTTTTTGTTGAATTGGAGTGTGAAGATGGTTACAAATACAAGAAACAGATAGCTGTTCCTGTAGAGTGCGGTTGTGAAAGTTGTTCTAATAGCTTTACCAAAACAGGAGGCACAAAGAGCAGTAGAAAGACTGGTTAAATGATATGAGTAATATCTACTGTTTGAAAATGTTATTTAACGTTTATTAATTTTCTGAAATATATTTAAATATTTATGCGGATTGCATTGTGTATTTTTGTTCAATTTAATGACCTTTGACTTTTTAATTAAAAATAATAATAATAAGCTTATGCTTTGATAAAAGTATTTTTAATAAATAATAACAGCAAAATTAATAATAATAATAATAATACCATTAAGAAAAGTATCAAAACGACTAATCGTAACAAAATAACTACGTAAATTAAGGCACCAATCAATTATACTGAATTTGAGAACTAACATTTGGACTTTTCTGTTATTATAAAAACAACAAATATAAATAGCTTTGGCGACAGAATTTCTTTTTCTAAAAAGAAATTAATCAGCTGGGATAGCTTGAACATGACAGTTCATTTATATAGATCTTTTAAGTATGAAAACTGCAGTCTTTTATTCTTCGACTTGCAAAACGTCACTAGTCAGAGTATGCAGTCTTTCATCATATAAGCGTTTGGCATAGTTGACTTGTTGTGATACCCACCGAGCTAAGTCATACGAGTCGCAGCGAATTATTGGCCTTTTTATAGCATCTTGATAAAGGGCAGTACTATTTGCATTCGATACTTTCATCGTTATTTCTATATAATAGCGACTATCAGAACCTTCTGAGACAGTCACGGGTTGACACTGTTGTAAATCGCTACGCAAAAATATACTTTATCATTTTTTACAAAACAAGTTTCATCCAAAAATTTTAACTTCCTAATTTGTAGTAAACTATATATAAACAAAAAACTTGCCATACCTTAAATAAACTTCTAGTTGAACAGTATTGAGGCCCACTATCCATATTTTTTGATTCGAAACAAGTATTTTCAAGTCTTCAGAATTCAAACGTTCAAACGCCACCAGATGTTCAGAAAAATTCCTAGGTCAATTTATTTATCAGTTATTTATTTAAAACATTTTTTGAATTATGATAATAATACTAACCTATCACTAACCGTGTACAAAAGTTGTTGCGCTTTGCTTTGCTTTTTACTGTAGGGGGGAAGTAAACCACCTGTTCCCCATACACAACGAGGCAATCTTGATCGGTCAGGGCTGATCCGGCTTTAGTAAAACAAAAAAATAAAAAAAAAATAGTTTAAGAAATATTACTAAACTTACCTTCTGCTAGTTTCTCTGACAGCTCTTGCAGTTTCTGATGCTAAATCNTAAAAAATAATAATTTTAATTACCTGTTGAATAGTAAGGAGTATTTTCAAACCTGATTTCAATGTCTCTTTTGAGTTTATTAACAACAAGTAATGAAGACCTAACTGTTACCAGTTTTTGTGCTAATCCTTTTAAAGCAACATCAAAAACAATCCTAATATTTGGCGGTTCCCTTAATGTCTGAAATAAAATTAACTGTTTGTTCTGTGCCCTTGCATAATATAAAAATGAACTCACTCTGCTATGAACTTCAGGAGCAGCATGCCTGAAGTAAATTCCGACTTTATCCACAGTTACTGGATGAACAGAATGCCAACCTTCCACTTTAACACATAACTGATGCATTTTTAAGGTGTGAGAGTCTTTATGTCTCTTTTTTTCTTAAAGAAAATAATAAACATTTAGACTTCACAAGTCATAATTTCTGCAAGATAAATACCTCGACTTCTGAATGTGAAAGGAATACTTTCTCCTGGTGCCACCAAAACCCACCTTTCTGTCACTTCCAATGATTCATGCAAATTAAATGAAGAATCCATTTCATTAATTAATGTGGTGAAGTACAAGGGGCATCCCGTATCATTTTTCAGAACAAAAGGGACAAAAGGAGAACGACTCTTGTAATTATGAATATTTTTGGATTCTTGAACATTGTTCTCTAAATAAATGTCCTGCATCCAATTGTTTTTGACTTGTTGATATAATTCAGTAAATGTAGATGTTACGTTCAAGTTTAATATCTCTTTTGATTCAACCGTAATTTGAAGACGATTTTGTATCAGGCTGGATGATATAACATTGTCCCATAAGACATGACACCTACAAAAGTAAAATATTAACGTTTGTACATATAAACGCAATTATGATCCTATTTCAATAAAACTTAAAAGTTTTAAGATAAATTTCTCTTCAAGATTAATTGTTAGCTTTTTCAAATTTACAATCAGATGCTAAAAGAATAGAAAATATTAAGAAGATTATTTAATTTCTTATTTGTGCTTCATACTTTGAAAATGACAGCATTTTCATTAGGGGTTGGTTGAATTTCTGTTGAAATATCTAATGCTGGAAGCTTATAGTATTCATCATCATTTCTATTAGTTTTTGGAGGTGTTACATACAGCAGAACAGGCACTGTAGTGTCTAAAAGCTTAAAAAATAAGGAAAATTTAGAAAGTGTACTTTTCTGAAAAGTTAAATGCGTAATTACCTGATTGTCGACCTGAATATCTCTCACACTGATGCAAAATGTTCTAGCAATTTTTGTAATTACAGTTTCTCCCACAATTGTTTCAAACTTGGCATATAAAAGCTCTTCAAATGGTTTCCTAGTAACAACACTGATTCCCACCCCAGCTAATTTAAGGGTACACTGATACTCTGTTTTCTTAGCATCATCGTCATCTTGATTACTATAACGTGTGAACTTTGGTCTTTGCTTTTTAACTATTTTATTCCATTCACGCTCATCTGGTACAGCATAAACGCTTTTTTCATGCATATCCCTAATATTAAGGACACGTGTAGGACCGTCGGTCGATATTTCAACTGATAATACACCCGAACCTGGTCTCAATCTTTGCCGGGTAACAGCTTGTTCCAGAGGAATACCTGTTTCAGTTGTACGATGACATATTGGCTGAGGAAGCCCTAGTATTGCTGCGTTCCCTATTAAAATCATAGAAATGAATTTTTTGTTTGAAAGGCTGAATTTGGCATTTTAGTGCACACAAAATATAAAAAATTAATGTACAAATGCACATAAACTACGTAGATATTATTTCTATTTCATCTATTTAAATAACAAAAACAACATTTTACAATAAAAGTACATTCAATTTTACCATACACCACGTGAAATTTGTTAGTAACGTTATGTCTTCTTTTGAATTGCTATAATGTTTATATTCCAAAACATTTCTATTTGGGTCATAATGTTATTATTGATCTACCAGATGCATATTTTAGTATTACAAGACAAGACTGGTCATAAAGTCAGTATGACAGGGCAGTTAAAAGTCCATTAAATAGGGATCATTCAAGTATTACGTAAACAGAATTTTAGTATAATTTTTAACGCCCCCCACCTCATTGTCAGCAAAAATAAACATAAAGTGAATTTCTCTATCCCTCGGGAACAGTACTTTTTCTTCTGGATAAAAGGTACCCAATGTCCTTTTCTGTACCGTTGAGAATGTGTCTACAAAATTTCATGATGATCGGTTGAGTAGTTAAGGCGTGAAAAAATAACAAACAAACTCACATTCACAATATTTATAATATTAGTTAGGATAAAGGAATTTAATGTACCAATCTTCATCATAAGGTCATCAGTCCCAAGACTGGTTGGACACGTACCTCCACTCTTTCCTATCCTAAGCTAAACTTAAATTTCGCATTTCCCTAAAACTAGAACAGCCCACATCCACAAGTAAGGCTGCTATTATATTTGTTCCGAACAAAATCTATCAAATTTTGCAGAAAGAGTAAATAAATAAATATTGCTGATGTAATCACGATCGAAACCCCCCTCTCGTCCACATGACATCAAAAATAAAAAAGTAAAGACCTCCTGCCCTCCCTGGGTACTTACGTAATACTTGAATGGCCTCTCAGTTGCAATTTTAAATCTAAGTATATAAATAATTTGGATGCACTTATACTGTGTTAATGACTCAAAAATAAATTTATGGAATGCGGACACTAATACAATGTGTGATATAAAAATAAACAATCAGGTGTTTTTGACATACCTATGTACAATTGTAAAATATTTAAATCCAAAATTAAAAAAACACGTAAGAGGAATTAGTCATTGAAAGCACGATTTTAAAAAGTGTACTAAGCAATGTTAATTTGTTTAAAGCAGGTAATAAAATAAAAAAACCTCATAATTTGTGAATATACATACACCTTGTCCAGTTTCCAAAATTTTTGCCCCCCTTCACTGAAATTTTTACACTTTATTTTTAAATTGAGATAAAAACATAGACAACCGAATTTTAAATTTTGTTCCAAAAAATTACTTGCATTAATAAAAAAGGCAATATTACATTTATAACGACATATATAAAACATACCAGGTCTTAACCCAAAGAATCCATCCTGGGCTTGCACGCACATTTTATAATGGGCACAACACAAACGGCCATCGTCGGTGAACCGCCACGTTTGAGTCGATCGACGTCTAGAATCGGGTTTGCGCAGCATTAATCTGTTGTATGTATTCGGTTGTGGAGCTGGTCCTTCAATGTCCAAAACCAATACATTATCTGATCTGGGTTGCTGCGGATGGGATGGTGGGCTGCTACCTTCATGTTGCAACTGACCCGATGCTGTCATACGCCACAATTGTGATCGCTGACCGGGAATTTTGCGATTCAGTATCACCTGCTTGCTATTGACCACATCTAGGACTAACTGTTGGTTCTCGACATCCATTGGGTCATTTAGGACATCTTCTCCACTGTTAAAAAAATATTAAATTTCAGAATACCGTAAAAATGTCTTAGTTATGAAAATAATCAACGAAAATTTTTAAGATATTTTATATGCCAAAACTAAGGGATGAAAATAACAAGTCTGCTCATTGTATTACTGTTGACCATTTGCACATGAAATGTCGACAGAAAATAAAGCATATACGACTAAAAGCCAATAAGATCAATGGTGGTACAATGCCTACTAATTTGTCATAAACTTCTGAAGTTATTAATAAGTCTTACTCTTTAAAAGTCCCCGCAAAGGCGATATAAATAAAGTTTTCGTAAGTGAGTTGGGGTACATTTCCAATTTTATTCATATCATAATTGTTGGAAACACCTCCAGGAGCCGAAACGGTCAAAAATGAAGATCCTGTAGGTTCATCCCAGGCGTAGGGTATGCTTGTATGAGCGCGAACATTACAGCGCAACAAATCTTTACAGCATGTCTGCCAAAACGTTAAGGGCACTTCAGAAAAATTGTCTACTCTTATTGGTGGTGGCATAGTATCTGCATCTGCGAATATAACGAAAAACGTTGCCCCCTCCAACACCACTTCCATTCGCAGAAAATATATTCGGCCCTGGGCATCCCTAGAAAAATAATTATCTTTATAATGCTAAAAAACAATGACAACCACAATTTCTCACTATATGAAAATCAAACATTAATGTGAAAATTATTTTCCCTTTATACGAACTATGAATTACCACAAGTTAATAAGGAAAATTTGTTGCTGTTGTCATACCCTCGCCGAAAATCGAACATGTAGCTTAGTGGCCAGAGCATTGGTGTGTAAAGCCGTGGGTCTCGGATTCAATTCCCGGCGAGGGTGTGACAACAGCAACAAATTTTCCTCATTAACTTGAGGTAATTTATAGTTGGAATAAATAGAAAATGAATTTTCATATTAATATTTGATATATTAACCACTATTAAATATCAAAAATTTTCCATATGTATCAATTTTGAAATTTTTATTTATCTATTAGTCTATTTTTCTGTCTAAAGCCTTATCTTATAATTTGTAAAAGAAATTTCTTTAGTTCTGTTATTTTTACGAAAGAGAAACGCTATTACAAATGCAAGAAAAATATTAAAAAATATTTAGTTTGAAAACACAGTGGACCAAAAGTGTGTTAAAAGTTCTTTAAACATTTACAAATATCTTTTACCTGACATTAACATGCATTGAATCATTTTCATCAATTTTTAATCCACCTGAAAAGCAACAGCTGGGAACATCTTCAATGAGAACACATAAAAGCTGCTCTTTATCTAACCGAGGCCAGTGAAAAGACATGTGACATCCTGGAGTAGTTTTACAATAGGTATTCTGGGATACAGGATCTGCCTGAAAATATGCTGTGTTTTAAAAAGCATACCAGAGTGGCAGGTAAATTCACATATCTTACAGGATTTACGAAATATTTTTGGGTAAAAGTTAATCGATAAGAGCTCTTATTGTGCAACTGATATCTAGGAGATATTGTAACTATTGAGGTCGACCTATATTTCCCACGTCCAACACGAACTTGTATGCCAATCAAGTACACGACGTCGGCACCACCATCTTTTAAACTCACATGTAATCTTCTTACTTGAGTACCTTTTCGTAAATGAAAGTTTTGGCACCACTGAAATACAAGTTACAGATAAATGATATAATAAGTTCGATTTCTACTAGGTTACAGAGTACACAGCAAAAATTATTTTCGTAATAGTATATAATGATAATTTCAGCCTGTTACTTAGTAAATACAGGAGGCGAGTAATCTTTCTTTATAAACATTTTTGGTATTATTTAAAAAGAGGTTCATTTTTTTTGAGGTATTAAATAAAAAAAAGAATTATAAAAGAAATTTTCTTACTATTGGGGTCCCATTAGAGTTTAGGGCGTTTCCAACACGTGCTGTTACAGTCGGACTAGCGTCCGAATCGGCAAAACTGAACAATAAAGGAGTTAACATTCGTGCTACTTCATGCTCTTCAAACTGACCGGCAGTTTCGGAAGTGACACCACCTTGTTTGAATACCAAAGGTAAACCCGTCTTATTTATAATCCAGAAAGGAGCCGAAAATGAAACCTAATAAATTTCATCATATTATTATCTTCTTGCAAAACATTTTTTAAATATTAAGGAATGAAAGGTTTACTCTACTTTTGTAGTAAAGTATATTTTTCATGTAGCTTTGAAAAAGTAAACAAATAATAATAATTCTGATAAATACATCCACTGTCAAAAAAAATATAGAGTAACATTAAAAAAATTGAAGCACCAAAATAGCTATTATTCTTTTACACCCACTTTCATTTTCTTTCAAAATAAGAAACTTACATTAATTCTTGCTTCTGAATTTGGAATAACGTTTGCTTGCAAGAAAAGACGACGCCCTGCATGGTCAGCAAGTCTAATACGACAGTTAAAAGGGGTCACACAATTTGATGGAACAAGGAGTTTACTGCTGATGGGAAAATTTTCCAAACACACAGTTATTTCAATTGCATCATCGGGATCAACCTATATTTCAAATGTACCATAAAATTTCACAAATAAATAAATATACAATTATTTCAACAGCTTACATTTGTCAAAGAGGCTTCACCTCCAGGCACTATTCTTCCACTTTCTTTGCAAATGTTATATGACAAGTCAACAGGCAACAAATTACTTATAAGTAAAATTGGTAGGACAGTTATAGTGTGGCCGGGCTGTAAATAATGCCCATTAACTCCCATTAATGCACTGGCTCTATCCGGAGGATAATTCTCTCTTTTAATCTCAATACAATATCTAAAATAGAGATAATTATTTATTTAAAATGTAAACATAATTAAATGCTGTATCAGTACTATACCTAAATAAATGATTTTTTGAAGTAGAAGACGACCGAAGTTCGTAACAACATTCTCCAGGAGTTATCACTTGTTTCCATGAAATGTGAGAACTACAGTACGAATACATAGTTTTTTGGCTTATAGGACGCATTGTTATTAGTGAATGAGCATGTGTAAGAGGAGCAGCTAACATTTCGTTTTTCTTTATCGTCATTGTTTTGTTTGCAATCCAAAACTCTTCTAAAAATTGAAGGTATTTAAAATGAAATCCAATATATAACAATTTTAGTTTTATAAAGTAAAAATAATAAGTAGTTTCGATATAATTAAACATTAAAAATAGATTTGCATAGGTATAAAACTTTTTGGTGGCCTTATAGCACTTAAATTTTAAATAACTGTAGATGCTGATTTTTCAATTCTAGTGGTAGTATAGGTATCACATTAATTGCTCTTAAAAAATAATAATTTTAATTACCTGTTGAATAGTAAGGAGTATTTTCAAACCTGATTTCAATGTCTCTTTTGAGTTTATTAACAACAAGTAATGAAGACCTAACTGTTACCAGTTTTTGTGCTAATCCTTTTAAAGCAACATCAAAAACAATCCTAATATTTGGCGGTTCCCTTAATGTCTGAAATAAAATTAACTGTTTGTTCTGTGCCCTTGCATAATATAAAAATGAACTCACTCTGCTATGAACTTCAGGAGCAGCATGCCTGAAGTAAATTCCGACTTTATCCACAGTTACTGGATGAACAGAATGCCAACCTTCCACTTTAACACATAACTGATGCATTTTTAAGGTGTGAGAGTCTTTATGTCTCTTTTTTTCTTAAAGAAAATAATAAACATTTAGACTTCACAAGTCATAATTTCTGCAAGATAAATACCTCGACTTCTGAATGTGAAAGGAATACTTTCTCCTGGTGCCACCAAAACCCACCTTTCTGTCACTTCCAATGATTCATGCAAATTAAATGAAGAATCCATTTCATTAATTAATGTGGTGAAGTACAAGGGGCATCCCGTATCATTTTTCAGAACAAAAGGGACAAAAGGAGAACGACTCTTGTAATTATGAATATTTTTGGATTCTTGAACATTGTTCTCTAAATAAATGTCCTGCATCCAATTGTTTTTGACTTGTTGATATAATTCAGTAAATGTAGATGTTACGTTCAAGTTTAATATCTCTTTTGATTCAACCGTAATTTGAAGACGATTTTGTATCAGGCTGGATGATATAACATTGTCCCATAAGACATGACACCTACAAAAGTAAAATATTAACGTTTGTACATATAAACGCAATTACCGTTTCAATTATTTCTTACTTCCATGGCTCAAGTATTGGTTCCCATCCAGATAGTACTCTATTATAATAATCAGCAGACAATGTGCATTCTAAAGCGCCATTTTTATTTGATTGTCCTTGATCTATTATCCCTGAATAATCCAAACATTGCCTTAAAAATAACTTGGAAAAAGATATTTCCAAAAGCGGCACATCTGAGTCACCACAGTCGTCAATTACAGCAAAAACTATACATCTGGCTTTTACCTGTAAAAACAGAAGTACGAATTACACCGATTTAGTTATTATGTAAATAATTTTCAAGAAATAGGATGTTGCATTTATTTTTATGTACGGCAAAATGAGTTTTAGCAACTTATAATAACCCACAAAGTGGCATCAAAGTCTGATCATTGGTTATATTCGTTCGCATACCTCCACAGCAGTGATGCTTGTTGGTGAAATTTTACTCTTTTCGAATTTTTCAATTTGACGAAGAGGTACGGCATTTTGGGTAAGCCACAATGCTGCATCATCTAATTTATGATCGCAAACGTCATATGCTTTAATACAATCGTCAATGGCAAACCCAAGGACAACCAATTTATATATTTCATCTAAAAGCAACACAATTTACAAATGATTTTTATAACAACATTACGTAATCTTGCCTTTCTTTGCAATTTCTCTGTTTTCTTTTGTACTTTTACTGTCTAGAAATTGTTGAGGTAAGGAGTTTAATATTTGCAAAAACATACGCATATCTCGATAAGATACGTGAACATTAAGATGGTTTAATTGAACCTGCAAGTTGAGTTAAAAATATTTTTAAAAATCAAGGGATATATTAGAAATGACATTACTTCCAATATTCTGGTATTTATTTCCATATTTAATGTAACAGGGTCAATAATAGATAGAGCAGTTTCTTCTTCCATCCCCAGTACACAAGAATATGCTTCACAGTTATTTAAATTCATTGATAGAGGTTTTTCGGTATCATAAGACTTGTACGTTACCACTGTTGTACTCTTTAATGACATAAAAATATATAAAGTTGTAATAAGGAAAGATCAGTCAATAACGAATTTGATTTGCATGCTGACAGTTCCGTATCTTACAAAATACAATCTTATAAATACAGGGATTATTTTATCACATGTTTTTGGTACTAAACAAAAAATAAGGTAAGAGTTAAAATTTAAAAACTTTATGGCATGGAACTTTAAATTTTAATTTCGCTGAATACCTTTAAAATTACAGCATTTGTGTCCCACTGAGAAATGTCTTGCACCATGACAATCTCAGAATCTGTAATATTGAGTTTTAATTCAAACGATCCTTTTTCGTTCTTCAAACTAGAAGATTCGTGAGTAGGTGAGGTTGGCTGCTCCTCTTCATAATTTGCAAAAATAAATTTCGCTGCAGACTCCCACCAATCAAAGATTGTCATCAAGCGCATGTTATTCAAAAGAATAGTGAATTTCGTTTTGTCCTGCTTTTTCCTACTATGAACCTCTAATTGAACAAGATCGTCTTGGCAATTGAAGACGATGGATTGCAGAATGTTTGTAAATACATTTTGCTTGTTGGAATTTTCGTTTTGAGATCTAGTATCTATCACTACGATCTCTTGAGATACTAAATCAACATCTTGACTAAAATTACTAAAGGACTCAACAGTGAGTTGCGATTTGATAAAATTCACACGAGCTATAGGTTCAGACTTGTAATTTGTATGTAAATCAAGTACTACATTCATCAGATTGAATTTTATGGAGAGAAGTGTCCATACATTTTCACTTGGCTAAAAAATATAAGTTCTTATTTTTTTTTAAAGTTTAATTATTGCAAAGGAGAAGGAAACATCAGTTATATAAAAAACTCAGCTTAATTCCTTATGTTATTAAAAGTAGGTATTTAAAAAATGTGCAGTTGAAAGTTCAAAGAAAGTATATTTTCACTAAATACCTTTATTACTTCCAAATTAGACTTTGAAACAGAGGGTAAAATGTGTTCAGTACACTCTCCCAAATTGTAAAAAAGTAACCCTTTGATAAGTTTATATTGTTGTACGTCCACTGTAATGTCTAAAGTCGATAATTCCCCTTGTATACTCATATCTGGAACTAAAATAAATAAAATATTATCAATATGATACTAATTTGTGGTAGGTTCTTATACCAGTATGATAAATATCGCTGAATAGATTTCTTTCCACTTGTATTTTTAGGTGACATTTGTTTTTCAAAAGGGATGCACCATTTCGTCTTATAACAGAACTTCCTAAAATCACGTGAGTGTCATTTATGGTCTTTGTTTTACTAGAACTTGTCTCCCTAACTCCGGTGAATAAGTCTACGTTTTGAAGTTCAATGAACATTATATCCAATAAACACTTTTTGCCTATAAATAACAAAAATATGATAAATAAGCTACAAAACTAATCTTTAAAACAATTTCACCTGCTTCTTTGTTTTTTACAACACTAATTACACCTTCATTGTCAGAATATTTAAAATCGTTGGTAACAATTAAATGCCCTAAATCAGCTATCAACAGGTCAGAACTTTTTGAACTAACTGGCAAATAGAGAACCGGAGCTTCCGCTTCCAAAATTACGGATAATTTTTTAATTTCATTCGTATTCTAAAATGATTGTATTTCAGAAATAAAAAATCGTCTATATCTTTAAGTAATTTTATACTTGTTGTCTACTAGTTGCAGTCCTAATACTTTGCATTACTGCTTGTAGGTGGGTAAAACGATTAAAAAACGCTTGTAGTTCTGCCACAAAACGTTTCGTGTGAACATATGAAACTGAGGACATTTCCAATTTAAGTTGTGCATCAAAATTTAAGACTTTGTTCGGAGAAAATCTACAAAGCCGCATATGTTAAACAACCACACAAGACTCAGTAAAAATGAACCAAATTGTTACCTCGTATAAATAAAAAGCAAAGCTTGTTTTCCAGATGTTAAAAATCTTTCTTTATATAACTGACCATGTAGTGTTAAATCTAATAGAGACATAGAACCTAAATGTCCTTTCACTTCTTTCTGGATTCCATCAGTTTTAATGCAAACTTCGACGTGGGAGATATTTACTTTTGCGAGATCGCTTTGAGGTTTAACCAATACTACATTAAGGGAGCGTATCGAAATGTTAGTTTCCTCGTTTTCTTTTTCTACAATATCTAAAATGCAGACATTTATACAAAAAATCTGCAAGATAATGATTAAAATTTATTATCACTTTTAGTGAATGCCTTTGATTCTTCGTCCTTTCTATGAGCCTGTTTGTAATCAGAAGGAGTCACACTAAAGAAGTCTATAACAATTACCCATGATTCTACATTAACTACTAAATCAAGGCAATTAAAATCAACAGATGTCGATCTTTCAACCTAGAAACATATTTACGTGAATTTTAACAAAATTATTTTTGCT